GGTCCCCGACAGCGCTCCAACGAAGGTGAAGTGGATTGCAACATCCACCATGGTGGCCGACGGCCTGACAAAGGCCATGAAGGCACCGCAGCTGGATAGCTTGATGGCTGATGGGAAGCTCAGCGTAGCTTACACTCCGTAAAGATATACGGGTGTGAGATTGAGCATGCCATCACGTTCATACATGATCAGCCTTGGCACTTTTCCCCACCGTGCCGTCGTGTAAGCTCGACACCTGCCACAACCTGTGGCTCAAGCCTGCTAGAAAGGCCCGCGCTTTTTGCTTTGGCCGCGCCAGTTTGATACTTTCATACTCAAAAACTACCTGTTCAAGTGACTTTTAAATCACTGTAAAGGTCTTCATCAAGAGTCTTGACTCTTTGGGTGGAATGCCATCACCCCAAAAACCACCTGTTCGTGAAGGACCATGTCCACCCATGGACCGCACCACGTCCGGGCGCGCTCCGCCGCCGAGGCGTCCCGCCGTGGCGGCCGAGGACGAGACTGCCGAAAGACCGGAGGTGGTCGAGACCGTGAAGGAGGGTCGGCGTCGAGCGGGGGGAGGGGGTTGTTGGGCTGGTGCGATGAGAGTCGGCACTGGTTGGCCACCCTACTACGGCCACGCTACGTGATGTAGTGGGCCTTTGTTGTTGTCATGTAAAGCTGGCTAGATCCGTTTGAAGAGGAGCAGAGTGAAAAGGAAGAATCGTAAAGATGCCAAAGGAGTTGGACACCTTCTTCCACGTCATGTGTTGACTTGGTACCGGGTTCGTGTCTCTGCATATGCAGGAGGAAAGCAGACCCTCCACTGCCTTTGCTGCCATCGATGACTGGAACCGCCAGACCATGCGACGGTGACCCGGCGTGACCATTATGATGATCCGATCCGGAAGGTTTCGGCTGGTTTTGCACATAGCCTCTCGAGCTCCTTCTGGACATGTTTTTTTTTTTGCATTCTCTTCTCATGATTCTCATGTCCCTACCTAGCAACTTGTTGGTCCCCCCAAATCACACAGAGACTTGTGGGGTGACGTAGAGACCCCTCAAAGCCCAACCGCCCAATGAACCCGCAGGACAGAACCTTTGAACCTCTCCTCCCAGAAAACCAGAAAAGAGTCCCAAAACAGTGAACGGGTCAACGGACAGTCATACTCGCATGTGTCTAAACCGAAGCTGGTGATTCTGAAGACCATCACCCAAATATGACCTTTGACCTGACCGTTTCGAACCCAATGACTTCTCCATGTGCCGAAAGCAAGACACCTCTCATCACCTCTCCTCCGCCCGCCCCTCCGTCACGGTCCGAGGCTCCGGGACGCCGCCTTGAACGACACGGTGGGCACCTTGCTGGGCAAGGCGCCTCCCTGGTCCCGCGCGTGTGAGGAGCTCAAGATGCTCGAGGCGGGACGGAGTGACTCCTGGATGGGGGAAGGGGTGATGAGGGAATGAGGGATGGAAGGGCGCCCGGATAAGGCGAAAAAGGATCGATGAGGAGTTGTTTCAAACATGACTTCAGAAACTGAAAGAAAAGAGGGGGTGTAGAGGAAACTGACAGGTCGTTGGGATCCCGTCATGTGGAGAACATATACTACTGTAAATATACGATCCTCATTTTCTGGTTGGGTGGCTCCAGAACCTGTTTGCGTGGGGGTGAAGCCAAGCACCCTTGGTCAGCAACCACCCTCCCTGCCACAGAGTCAAACACGTCAACCCAACCGCAGACCTTGTCGCCCCTCTCGTCCTCCACCTTCATGGCTTCGACGATGAGGCGTGCGGGGTTGGACCGGCGGTTGACGGGAGCGCGAAGATGTTGGATGTGTGACAGGATTGGCGAAAGTCATTTTTGCTTGAACGCATGGCAGATGAGATCACCTCGGATTTTTGCATGTTGGATGCCACCTGATGCCACCTGAACCCTAAACCAGTTTTCACCTTTTATCTGTACCACCAAGATCGGCAGGAACTAGGCCCCAAGATTCGCCCGAGCGTTCGCACCGGCGCATCGGCGTCTCGCGCGCACCGCGGGCAGGACCCGCGCCGCTCCGCGCGGCGTGAAACACGCCGCCGCCCAGGACGAGTCACACCTGGGAGATTGCGACCACCCCTCGAGACCTGCTCCACATTGGAAACAACAGGCGAGTCCGCGCGTGCTGCGCATGCTGCGTCCGGCTCCATGCTCCCGGGTCGGTGGGGACCCATCCAGGCCGACTCTGCGCGGTGGCAGGGTGGTTTGGCGCGGTTGTTCGGTCGCCTCTGCGCGGTGGGTGGTGTTTTACGCAAAGCTTTCTTTCTGGCCTTTTTGTTGGCGGTGCGACACACACACACACATGCTGCACTTTTGGGGGGTGAAGAGCGTAGTGTTCGCGGTGTTGGGGCGTGCGGGAGAGGCTGGTGATGGCTGCCAGTTGGGTCGACACATGTTTTGGCACATTGAGATGGTCATGGGGTGAGACTGTTCATTTCAATCAAGTGGAACCTCACACCTATCATCCATCAGGTGCGGTCAGGGCAGTAGCGAACAGGCACCTGGTAGGTTCACAGGTTTTTTGTGTTTGGACTAAAGCGATGCTTTGTGGAATGATGAAAAAACACACAGCCGGTTGTTCTGTCAAGGTCTTTTTGTGGATGATTCCCTGTTTTGCAAGTCTGGTTTGAGGCCAGATTGAGATGCAAAAGAGGCACGGAGATTGAATGCTTAAAGATGCTTAAAGGATTACAGTGATGACAGAACAATATCTGCCAACTGTTCTCCTCGTTTGAGTTCTACTCAATTGTTCGTGGACAAGATCCAGAAGCTGGAGATCGACTCCATTTGTCAAAGTGCAACATTTGCAGTATATTCAGCATATTCCTGAGATCTGTTTAGGATACCATGCCTGAGTTGGCCGGAGGGCAAAGTTCTGCTGCCCACTCCCCCACCACAAAACAGAAACAACAGGACCAGGAACTGAAATGACACCTAATAAACACGCGTGGCTTCGTTCTGCTTGCGGAACTATCCATGTTTTTTCCATGCAACCTCACGCTCCACTTCCCCCCAACACCTGTGCGTCGTCGATCCTGGACAGGCGACGCGACGTGATGACGGAGTTCCAGCAAGTGCTGAGGGTTCAGGGCCCCATGCTGCGGAAGCTCCAGAAGTATTCGCCGGGGCATGCGACGAGAAGTTAGGTGATGAGAAGCGGTCCGCCAGCGGTCCGCTGCGGAGCTCACGCGGAGTCTCTGTTTCGGGTGTAAAGACCTGAGAAGTTGCTCAATGATTTTGGCGCCCTCCCCCTCCCTCGAAGCTTGTCTGGAAGCTGGGAAGCTTCTTGGATCGGGTGTATTGTGAGTCCAAGAAATAGCGACACTAAAGCAAGATGTAGAGGGCCCCCAAACGTCCTTTGGGGGTCAAACAGGGGGTCGCCCTGTCTTGATATACACCTGGGTCATAGGTCATGGTGCATGTCCGTAAATGGGCCGTTTCATCCACCCGATCCGGCCATGGAATCATCGACCCAGTTGCGTGCACCTCCGAGTACTTGTGACACTTCTGGGTTCCGTACCTACCAGAATTTAGAATCTTAATAGATCAGAGCCAAAGAACTCGGACTGTGTTGCACTTCCCTTTGGACCCCTCAGCTGCCCCACCTTCCACAACCGGCATATCTTGCCCCGGACTCCGCTGTTCGGTAGACCGCGGTCTCACCCGGGCGCGGTTGACGCCGTGCTGACCTGGACTCGCTTCGGGCATCGGTTGTCCACTTCCGCCAGGAATAGGATTCGGGGCATCGGTGCCTTTTCAAGTTTGATGAAGTTTGCAGGGCCAGACTGGACAGGTCACAAATTATTACGTTGTGAGTTGCGAGCATCCGGGCATTCATTCCTTCGTGCGAAAAGGCGGCGCACAGCCGAGCTGAAGTGTTGGGTCAGACTCAAATCGCCGGGTCGTTTGGCCCGATGCAACGACTGTCGGAAGCGGCCAAGACACGTCCTGCTTTCAAACTGTCATTATGACCCAGAGAAAAGAGGTGCTGAGAAACACTTGATACTTCCCTCACACAGGTCGCCCCCTTTTTGGGTCCGTGGAATGATGGCAAAGTTGGGCGACCTTGGGCCAAGCTCAAACTCTGAACCAGCTCTCAGTTCGTTTCGCATGCCATTCCATGAATTGTTTGTTTCTCAACCCATTGACTAGGTGATGATGTCGGGGCTGAGGCTGCGTCCGAATAGCAGTCCTGCAATCCGTTATGCCTGACATATTCAGCAGTGAAACCCTGACAGTGTTCAGGCTCGGGGTAAAGAACCCCAGTTTGGGGAGATTGCTTTGAGTTTCCCTCCGATGGTCGCTGCATGTCGCTGCAATGGTCCGAAGCACTAGCACTGGCACGCAGCACTCGCGCCAAAGGCGCGAGTGTGCGGAGCATGATCACCTCAGAAAAAAGATCGAGCTTCGCCCTGCCATGCAAAGTTTTTCTTGCTTGTGGATGAGAACTCTAGATCTAAATATCTGCACTGTATTCCAGACTTCTTTGGCACTACAACATCCAGGCAGCTGGTGCCGTCAGGCTGCCGTTGCATGTAGATGCTGATCACCTCATCATCCTAAAACGAAACTGTGGTTGGAAGAATCAGGTATGACATGTCCACACCTTCGCCTTGTAATTGTCAGAGTTTGAATCTGCCCTTCAGACGGCAGGTTAAGTAAACCGACGACCCTGACAGATTGCACCATCCTATCAGATAAAAAAGATTTTGTAAAGACAGATGTGAACCACGGTGAACCGGTCACTGAATGTGCCAAAAAACGTGTAGATTGGATGGATTTTCAGGTGCTGCACATGCATCTCCTGTTTTCAGATTCATCTCATGCAGGTGCCCACGGAGAATGGTCAGAAAGGGTCGGACCGGGCGGACCCGTGCACATCCAAAGCCACACTCCCGTGGCAACGAAGAAACAACTGGAGCCAGGTGTGGTGTTCTGTGGTCCTCTGCTCGGTCCTCTGCACCTGTCGCCTAAGGCCTCAGTGACGATTACGAGGCGAGTGACGATGACGAGGGTGGTCGGTCTCCTTGCCGCACATCGGCATTGCTCCTCGTTTCATGATGCACACAACATGTGCCAGGGATTACATTGCATCCCTCCCTGGTTTCGTGATATTTTGTGGATGGTTCTCCAGGCATCAAACCAAAGTCAGAGTCCACATGGCTTTCGTGTTTGACGTTTTTGCCACAACAGCATACCAGTTTTCAGCAATCTCACCACAAATGTCATTCACGTGGACATTTTGTTGCTGAATCAAAGGTGAAGACGTTCGTGAAACAAAGATGAAGTTCGTTAAACGATGTTTAACGTATGTATATATATAATATAGATAGATGAACATGACGTTCATGAAATGAACATGACAAGTTGACATTGATGATCCAACCGAACATCAATACACCCCCACCCAACCACTGAGCGTCACGCCTGTTGCGTGGTCACATGAAAAACCGTAACATCAGTAGACTGTCCAAAAACACCAAAAATGCAGTGGCCCGATTGGGTGTTTCCGGTATGTTCTGGTCAACTCAGAAAGCCGCGAAGCTGAGTTAAGACTGGTTGCTGGGCAAAATAACCTCTTCTTTCTTTGCTGTTTTGGGACCATGTTCTTCTTTCGGAGTCAACACTTGATGCCGAGACGAGATACTTCCCATGAGACTGTGCAAGCTCTTGATGGACTGTGACGGCGTAGTCACGAGGGACATGTCCCAATAGAAGCGCCGGTGTTGGGTCAAAGGACCCTTGAAACTGCATCCAACGGTTTGCCAGAACACCCCAAGTTTTCCGGGTCCTTTGTCAGGTCACTTGACCTCTCTTGGATCGGATCAAGTGTTGAGGTTTGGCCAGTTTGGTCCAAATTTGGGCCTCCCCAGCAAGTCCAAAGTGGTGTGATTTTGTCGAGTTTTTGGATGTGATCCTGCTTTTTTAAGCTCTTGCGAAGACGCTACAGGAGGAGGATGGTGGCATGAAGATGGTCGGTGTGGCCCAGATTGAAGGTTGCAGAAGGTTGGATGCTGCATCAACCAAGGAGACCTTTCTTGATGGGGAGGGTGGAACGAGTGGGGTTGAAGTCGTTCTTTTGTCCGGTGGCTCTTCTTGCTTCTCTTTTTTCGGGTGCTGGAGGATGGGGCTTTTGATGGGTTCATGGGTACATACTTGCAATTCTTCAGGGTTTGGAGCTTAGTATATATCGTGCTCCCAATGTGAAGTTGGAACGACCATCTATCTATCACCTTGGAGGAGCTTGCACATGCAGCAAGCACGAGGTACCACCCTGATATAATATGATATAATTCCATTCAGCTGGCATTGGTTCGGGGCAAAGATATGTTGGCCCCGAGAAGCTTTTCGTTTGCAGCCGAAGATCTTCTTCTTCTGCACCAACTGATTTGGGCGGAATCAGTCATGGTCTTCCCTGGTGGGTGAAACACTGGCGTCTCCTCATCCTCCATCTTCGACGGGGGCCGAGCAGTGCCACGATGACTTGATGACGCCCCCCCCGAAGGAGAGAGGAACGTAGGACGTAGGAAAACTGAGAAAGCTGCGAACGGGTGCAGGAGTTGATTTGGTCATCGAAAAGGATCGCAAACGAGAGCTTCAGCGGACCTGAAAAAGGGGCTCTCTCTTCCACAGGAAAGCCCCAAAATCCAGATCACAGAAGGACTTTGGATCTATAAGGTACTGCAACCTCATGATAAAAGGACATGGAGAAGGTTCCATTGTTGGGAACGAGCTACTTAGACCGGCCGACCAAAAGAGATCGCTGTGTGTCGACAGCTCGTTGAGGCCTCTTATGAGCAGAGCTATCCGTGGGAGTGCCCAGCATCAACCCAGCAACCCATGAGATGCTGCGAAAGAAAGAGAACGGGATTTGGACCCCATAAAGTCCTTATAGGGGCCATAAGGGGTCATATGGGGCCAAGCTTTCGTTCAAGCTGAAGCACCTTTGCAGGAGCTACCTTATGTACCGTTGCTTTCAGGGGAGGATTTCGTTTCGCTCGGTAGTCACTTGGTTTACCTGGGTTCAATTATAGCCTTTTTGTTTTCAATCTTCTCTTGCCAACAGTTCTGTTTCACTGACCCTCCACTCTTGCTTTCCAGCCACGCATGTGCTCATGAAAAAGCAGCAACACTCTCCCAGTGGACCGGCTACTGTGGTGGGTACTGAAATATCGCTCGATTATTGCTCCTACCTGACTCAACTGTGGGCGAAGTCCAAAATTCGCATCCGACATATGGTGTGGATCACAAGGTGATACTTGTACAAGCTTCGCTTCCTCCTTTCTAAGTGACCATACGACCTGGATGTCTCTGTCCCATACGTTTCGAAGTGGAGTGAGGCCTCGGAAGGGCGACGAAACTCGTCGCTCTTCCGATCCTTCACACGTTCACTTGAATTGTCCATCTGGGCTTGGAGTCATCAACCAACAAGCACCGCTTCGTTACGAAGTGACTTGCATTCATGCTGGACCAGTCTGACTGGTACCGGTGGAGGTGGTGAAAACACCGCTCTTCGCCCGGCCCGGTGGACCAGCGTTCTTCGCCTCTGTGAGGCCGCAAGGGCAAGCCCAGCCACCTTTGCCGCCGAGGTGCTGTAGCAGCAGGGAGTGGTCAGTCTGAAGGGAAAGGATTGGGCGGTCAATTCAGCACTTCAAACACTGAGGTTGACAGCAGTGCATTCTGAATTCGTTGGGTCCACCGGTCAACCCAGGAGTTTGTGGTTTTGATCCATCACACACGGGCTTTTACTGGGAAGGGACGGGAAGGAAGTGAAGCGAGCGAGCAAGCGAGCAAGCAAGGAAGGACGGAAGAAAGGAAGTAAGGCAGTAAGCAAAACCAAAGTAAGCCCGCAAGCAAAGCAAGCGCGAGTAAACCATGCGTAAGCAAGCTAGTATACAAAAAGAGTTAAAAAAAATCAGAAGAACAAGGAAGCAAGTGAGAAAGCAAATAAGAAAAGGGTGAAGCAAGCAAAAAGCATGCACGCAAGCTAGGCATCAAAAACTTTCTGGATCAGTTTTTGCTTGGATTGCTATTGGGGGGGAGGTGCTGCGCCCTGCCCCCAACCCCTCCAGCTTTCACCAAAGCACGCCAAACAAAGCTTAGTGGCTAGTGGAAGCAACCAAAGAGCGCGTTTGCCCCAAGTGTTGTACATAGACGTGCATCACAGCAGATGATGGAGGCGTCCAAAGTGCTGTAAGTACCGCGTGGAGCATCCAAATCAGGCGGAAAGTAGTGGCAGTGGACGATATGATGATGTCCAAGGTGGTGTTAATGAGCGAAAAGTGAACAAGGGGCGCCCCACAAGCCGACGATAGCAGCGGAGGTCGAAAATATGAGGTTCCTTGTGGTGTAAGAACATGAAGAATGAACATCGAGAAACGGGCACCTTCTCGAACCAACCAACGCGGCCAAAGTTGTTGATCCAAACCAACCCGGTGGACTGGCAGACCAGGCCGCCTCAGGGCTCTTACGGACACTATGGGCACGGGGCACAAGCGCCCACCATGAACTTCCAGCAGGCGAAGCCTGTGGCAGGGCAGGGGAGAGGATTGGGAGTTTCGGGAGATGTCGTATCGCATCACCTGAAATCATGCGGATTTTAGCAATAAATAGTGAGCAAACCGTTCGCCGTGAGGAAAAAGAAGAAGCAGGCCATGGTCCTTCGCTCCTGTTGATGTCCTGCACCACTTCCGTTTTGGGCCTTTTTGGATCCTCCCCGTGTCCTCGTGTGTTGTTCAGTCCATGCTTTCTCCGGTGGTCCTGCTGTGTGTCCGGTTGTGTCTCTGTTTCTTGCTGGTGAAGCTGTTTGGGGAGTTTGGGGTTTATGCTGGTATAATATATAGTTTGGACAGAGAAATGTGATAGTGGGGCTCAGGGCGTTTGCCCCACAGCTGACGTGGGCAGCCAAATACAAGACAACTCTATACCTCCTGAGTCGAAACTTAATTTTTATTCGTTTGAACGAGAAGTATTTGAGCCATAACCGTATTTTGAAGTTTGAAGAAGGCCGTATGCAATATATAGATACTTTTCAACTCCTCGGTCGCACTTGTAATCTCACTTTGGGCAGTGCGAACATGATTGCATGAGAAAGTTGTCCTAGAAGTGCTTGGGGAGTACTAGATGACGCAACCCCCTACATTCCATGTCTTTTGGATGGGGGTTCATTCTGAACCACCGTTCACTTGGATGGTCTTTGTGTCAAAGACTCCCCGTCCACTTATAGATCTATGGTGCCAATACTGTCCAGGGTGTGTGACTCCAGAAGGAGAGAATGTGCCAACACGACGAAGAATCGGCACCGCCAGTCGCCAGTGCCGCTTCTGAACCAGGCAGGGTGACTCACGCGAAGATAACGATTTGCACAGGATACTTAACGCATGAACTGATTGATTGCCACGAACTTTGTGGCAAACAGCCATGAAGTTGCTTCATTATAGACTCATATCATAGACTGATTTGATTTCAAGGTGGTTTCCATCGGTTCCATCGGTGCCGCCCTGTAAAAAACGGTTCATTCAGTACTGTGTCCATGTGTGTGGAACGTTGTAAAACACAAATAAGTACGTCCTTACTTCGATTAAATACACCCCCCTGCACAAAACATTTAGACAACCACGTGCATATGGGGCAATTGGAACACAACACGCACTTGGGAGTTGCACCAAGACAATCGGGCTGGATGTGGGTTCAATTTTAACGCTTCCAAGAAATGCAATTTGTATCCATTTGTACTTTGCTGATAACAGCCACAGGCTGAGGGATGGATTTGAGCACCCATGGTGCAAGACCTTTGACTTGAGATCCCAAACCCAAAAAGTATTCGATGTATCTCCATGGGTTTTGAGCGATAGTTTTGCAATGGAACATGAGGAAATAGGAACCAAACGACGTGAAAACCAAAGTACTGTATTTGGGTGGCTTTGATGAGGAACACATTTTGATATGGTATCACGATGCGAAGGTCCTCGACAATGCTTTGGCCTTTTTGAGAAGGGCCTCGATATGGCTACCATTCCCGAACCCCCAATCCGTAGGCCTACACAGGGACCTCAGTCGGAGATTTTCTCCAAGTGATGTGCATTCAGACGCTCTTCTCACCCTGGCTCAACCCTTGCTCAACGAGTTTTGGACGTGACTTGGTTTTGACCCACATCCATATGAGCTTTTTAGTGTCATTGAACGCCCAAAGCAGCTGGAGAATGGAGGCACATGGCTTTAGTACATTCACTTCCTAAAACTCCGGATGCATGAAACATCATTTCAGGTCAACATCCAACGATTTTAAAGATTTTGACCTGAAATCCAATAAGTTGCCACAGAACTCCGCCGCATCTTCGAGCCTCAAACGTCATTGGTTCCACTCCCAGAACTCCGCCGCAGGGGGTGCCATACAGCTCGGGGCATCGGCCATATCAACAGCCCTATCCAGGTGCCTGACTCATACCGGGCGCGCGCGGAGCGGTTGGGGGCGGGGCGTTCCGCTGCGGCGGCGGACCTAGTAGGGCCTAGTAGCACCTAGTAGCGATGTCGGGGTCGCTCCTAGTAGCGTCCGAACGCTCCTAGGTTTCTCAGTGATTCAAGTGTCCAGGGCCCTTCTTTTCTTGGGGAGGTTGGACGCTTTCTTCACGGAAGCCTGTTCTTTGACGGACGTTCGGTCGATGATTGCTGCTGCTTTCCGATTTCCCTCACATCCTTGTCCATGCATTTGGCAACATCGATGCAGCCTGGAATCTGGAGGCTTTGTGCAACATCTCTTTTTGAACCTCGTTGGAGGGCCACCCATCCCCTCGTGCAACGAACACACGATTCTTTTCTTTGTTTTTCCGGGGAGCCCAGGCCACAACCAGCGGCTGATGTGAGTCTGGGCAGTTGGGACCGTACGCATTCCGTGAAACACCCAGGTTTGGAGCGGATGGAAGTCATTTCACTGGTACTCTTGAGTACTCTTGATTCTCAATGACTGCACGGTGCAGTGGAAGTACTAGGAGCAGTGACCAATGCCGCAGACGCGCAAGCGTCCGGTCTCGTGGGCCTAATTCGCGTGCGTACCATATTGGCAGATCTGACGGTAGGTCACGTCTGACCACCAATGCGTGTGTGGGGAACGCGGGTCGCTGCGCGACCGGCTGCGCTCTTGAAGCTGCTCAAGGGTGGTATCTGAGGAAAGCTTTGTTGATGTTTGGTGAGGTTTCTAAAGTGCCCAACTTGCTTGGAAAACTGAAGACGGTAAGAAATAGACATTGGTGGTATGAGCTAATCAGATATTGAATGTTGGTACGACTGTTGTTGCAGTGATGTTGTCCCTATTGTCACTTTGCTTGAAAGAGAGGGTCAGATTCTGAGCTAGGCCAGTCAAGACTCTTTTCAGACACTCACCTTCCCAGTGGCGTTCTAGTTCACCGGGTTTGTTCGCCACTGCTTTGGTCTTCTTTTGGCTTCTTTAGGCGTACAAAGGACCCTCAGCTTTCAGGGTTTGCAGCCGCGCGCAGAGAAGTGGTGCTCGTCGCCAATGCTCCAGTGAAAAGGGGTGGAATGGAGTTCGAACTTCTCCCATGGGGCAAACAGCAAAGCTAAGATAGTGATTCTAGCCCTTTTGAAGTGGTAAAAAGCAGGTGTGTATTTATGCAAGACACAGATACATTTTCATTTTTGCAGATTTTTATACCACCAGTGCATGAGTTATCAGGATGCCAGGCATAGCAGTTCTCTAAGGCAAGATACGCTGAACATCCAGATCTGAACCAAGTTGTGGAGAGAGGATGTGGGGTACGAGACACACGAGCATCCGCATTCGGCCTGTGAATATGACCGTTTGCTGAGAACGGGATCAAAAATTGGCCTTTCATGCTCCAATGGTGAAGGAAGCAGGAAAACCTTTTCGACAGGAGATCCGGTGTGGGAGTTCTCTCTGACGCCCAGTTGGGCCAGTTTGGTATCGCACCTTTGGCTCAGCTGGATGTTTGAAAGATTTGGTAAGGCCAGCGGTGAAGGGATGTCACATTTGGGTGGTTGCTTCGGTTCATGCTCCAGGTGATCATGATTACCCCAAATGCTTTGTAGGGAAGGCCCTGCTTCACCACAACTAAGAAGGGATGGCTGAGAAAGCATCACAGGGATGGTGAGCAAAGGCCCAGTCTATTTTGAAGACTTTCCACTTCACACCTCTTCACCTCTAGGCGCCCCTGTCAACAAAGTAACGAAGTAAGTCACCATAAGTCATTCTTTGTTTTTCCTCTCGACACCGTTGTTCAGCATCCAAGTCTTGCAAACAAAAGGCTGAAGTACCTGGCACCAGACGCCGTCGGGTGAGGGACTCCCCCTTTAATGCAATGGTCGTTCGTCGCTGGGCGCTGGGCGCCGGCACGCTGGGGGCCACCGTGGCGCTGCTGAGTGCATCGCAGCGTTTAAGTCTGGCGCTCATGGAGGCGTGATTCAATGCTCAACTACTGATACACCATAATTCTGTGTATATATATATAAAGATTATAGATGGGTTAAAGACAAACTCTTTTTTGCTCTTTAGACTCTACTTGTCAATTTTTTCCACCAATCTTGTACAGCACTTTTCACCGGGTTTCTATGATTCTGTTTGCTTCGGCTCTGCTGCGTGGAGCGTGCCCACCTGGGCTTTGTGGGGGGCATGAACTTCAAGGCCTTGATGATACCGAACCCAGAAAAGCTTCCTGAAGATCCAAGGTCCCCCAAGACAAACCGAGGCTCGAGTTGATGAACATGTTTTTTCTATTTTTTGTCTAGATGTTTCGAAAAAAAAGACTTGGAAGGGGCTTTGTTTGGGCATCTTAGGCAGTTGGAATCCTGTGGAGCCTAGGCTAGAGAGTTTCAAGAGCTTCCAGAAAGCACATGGTGGTATGCTTTTTGGACTGTCTTGGAGTAACCTGAAATGTTAGTTCAAGATTTGAGATCCGGTTCTGGCCCCATGTCCGCATGCTTGTTTCGGTGAAACCAGACATCGTTGGGAGGATCGATCCATTTTGAATCATTTTGGCGTTTCACTGAGTGAAGAAAGGAGTGTTTTAACACTCTCCATATCTCTCCATACCCCCATACCCATCTGCTATCACAAAACAGCTCTGTCAATGATTCCTTCAGTGAAGCGCTTGCCAGGACCACCGTCCCACTCCCAAGCCGCAGCTTCGCGTTGCTCGCGCACGGCTTCTCCGCGCGCGGAGCAGGGTTCAGGCTGAAGGCGTGAATGGTCTGACCAAGTCGTCCCTTCCTTCGCAGCTTTGACCCGAAAATGACTTGGTCGTCCTGCTGCAGGTCCTACCTATCACCCTTCAGGATCTCAAAGCCCCCTCCCCGTCGGCCCGGTTCCGGTCCACTCCCCGTCCTTCTCGATGGGTGTGAAAAGCGGCGAGGCAAAGCGAACTCGCTCTCGGGCGCCTTGCGGTCCACTGAGTTGTGGCAATTGGAGGCTGTGAGTGGGGAAGCAGAAGGAAGCAGACAGGTTCAGGGAACCGGTATTTCTCTGGGATTATTTTTTCGTTCTTTTTTTCACCGGCATTTTTTTCGCATTTTTTTCTGCTTCTGCTTTTGCTTTTTGCTTTTGCTTTTTGGTTTTGGCCCGCCTTTGCTTAGCCGTGGCTTCGCCCTCCTCCGGACACCCTCCCACTCTTTTAATAGTTCCCACTACCCCTACTAACACCAGTGCCTCTATCACCCAAAGAAGTCCCTATTAAATTATAGTTCCTCTCTCCTCTTTCCTCACTCCTACTTCTCCTTCGTTAAGTGGGATGCCTTTTCTGCTCCTCCCTTGTCACTGTCTCAGTCTCTCCCTCCCGCTGGCTCTGCTGCTTCGTCCCCTGACCTTTCTGCTGCTCCTGATGCTTGTAAAACACTCCCAGAAAAAGCGCGAAAAAAAACATCCCAGAAAAAGACCCGACATGCAAGTACATTTGGGCTGATTAGGCCAAATATCAACACGTAGCTTGAAGCTCTTCGTTGGACCTTTGCTCGTGTGGACAAAAGACCGACGCAGGCACAAGCAGTACGTACACACGCACACAACACACAATCTTAGATGACAGAGGCTTTGCGAACCCGGAAGAAAGAGAAGGCGCTGAGGTAGCCAGGGTGTGCCGGAATAGATTCAAAGAGGGTAAAAGGACATTCCAAAGGTACAAATAATATCGAATAATGAAAGGCAACTGAGCATAGCGGCATAGCAAGGAGTGCCCCTTGGTGCTACCTAAGACGTGCACCAACTTGCCGTACCCAAACATGTTGTTTTTCTCGTCTTAGTGCCAGGAGTCGTCGAGTCGTTTGTCTCGCAATGCTTTGAACCCTCGTGGATTTTCGTCCAACGTCGCCCGATCAACTCATCCCAGCCGTTGCTTCGCCGTAGAGAGGTTCTCACCCTCCGGCCCTCCGGTGGACAGAGGTGGACAGCGCAGGGATCCGGTCTGTTTCTGACCCCACAGGTCCGGACCAAAGTGAGAGCGTCATGTGTGACCCGCCCAGATGCTGTCGGCCACCACGCACAGCACTTCAACGAAGTTTCCTGAAAAACACACATATTTTATATATATATATAATACAAATATACGGTAAACATATACATATATATATATATTATATATATATATATATATATTTGGGTGCTGCAGATGCTGATTTGAGGCCCCTCCAGCCTTGGAGGAGATGTCTCCAGAGGCGTGGCTCCCTGCCTTTGTGCCATTTGTGCCATCAGCGACCGCGAAGAACGACCGGAACGTCGTCCCAAAGCAACGACCAAGATCGTCGGGGCAGAAATAGAGGCATGTTGTGTCTGTTCAAATCAGTTTCAACCGAAGTTCAATTGGTGGTATGGCTTGTGAAGTTGAAATCCTAACGGCTCCTCAAGTCCAGGCTTTTCTGCTTGGAGGCTCCCTACAATTCGAATCCGGGATCCCAGGTTCTCTGTGAGGTTCTCTCTAGGGTCTTGTTTGGAGTGTGGACAGCCTGATGTTTCAGCGCGGCAAGGCGCGAACGAATGCTGTTGCATCGAACGTCGGTGTCTGATGGCCTGTTTCAATCAAGAGTCATGGATCTCCATCCAGTGCTTAGAGTCCATCCAATGCCTCTGGATGGACAAGTGAAGATCTCAATGAACATGCGTGATTTCCTGTGTGGGAGTCCCTCCTCCCCCACACGCCTCATGATAGCATCCTGAAACAGCTCTCTCCCTCAGCGTGAAGCCATCACGTCGCCAGGCCCCCCGCGCGCGGCCGTTTGAAGCGGACGCTGTCCTGCGCACCGCGCAAGCGGGCGACGTCACACGCGCGGTGCGCTGGCTGGAGACGCTGCTGAGCCGTGGCTTTTTGGACACCGAGCGCCTGGGTTTCACTGATGCCATCAGTGATCATCAGTGGTTTCTGGTGGTTCGCTTATCACGTTTGCTTCAAGGCTGTATACAACCGGTCTCAGATCCTTGAAAGGAAACATAGAAACATCAAAGTCAAGCGTTGATTGAGTGCATTCCCATGCTCTTGTGCTTCTCCTAAAATGCATTTTCCCTTTAAAAACCGGTTTGGAGCCGCCGATGACCGGAGCCTCACCTGAGCTCCATGGACCACTGCTTCGGGGCCATTGCCGTGTCCTTCGCACGCCAGGCGCTTCCAACCCGTCGCTTCCGGGCGGGTCCTTTGGAGCATGTTTTGGGACCTACCCTCCCTCCAATAATCATGGAAGTGGACCAACAGCCTCCTGGAATACTTACAAGCAAGAGATTGTCTACAAGCAAGAGTTTGTTTCAGGGAGTGTATTTGAGCTGAACAGGCAAATGAATCAACTCAACCAGTCTGACATGGAGGGGAGTGATACACACTGTTTTTAACTCTCGATTGACATCTGGCCAGGTTGGGGTGGTCACTACTTGGGGACTTGATAGACGATCAGATCAAGAGAGTAAGATGATTTGCCTTTGACCAGCCATTAGCCGAGAGAGTTCTATACTGCTCCAAATAATTGAATGGATCGCGCTTGTTCTTGTTCACTCAAACAAGGCCTTTTTGCGCCACCTGGCTTTCTGCCTTCTGCCTGCCCCGTCGCCCCGTCGCTTGCGCAGGGCAATGCCGGGGGCGCCTTGCGCTATGTGCAGCGCATCCAGACGGCCGGCCGCCGGCCTGAGGCCCGGGCCTCCCACCGAGCTATCCAAGCGGTTTGTTTGGGGATGAAGCTGGTCGCTTTTCTTTTCATCAACCATCAATGACCATCAACATCCTTATATAGTTATTATATATAATTACAATGGTATGATAGACCATTCAGATGTTTTCGATGATCTTCCCAGCCACAAGACGGGTAGTGGTGCCTGGTCTGCCTGGTGCCTTTTCTGGCTGAATTGGTCAGTTCGATGGAATTCCTTGGAACCACTTGTGGACAAACACACACGCACACACTTGAGAAGGTTGCTCCGTGGAGCTTGTCTTCAGGCAGTTCGCGGTGAGCATTAGCACTTTAAGGTTAGGCCCTATGAAGAACGGAAAGGCGAAAGAGTCTGAGAACAATATGGTTTAAATCAATGAGTCATTTTAAAAAAAATCGATGCAGGTACAAGATACTGCGTCCAGTATCTCATCCAACCGAACACGATAGCTTTGTTAGCACGGCTAGGTGAACGGTCGCCGTGCCCCCTGCTGAGTTTCTGTACAGCACTTCAATTCAGCGAGCACGAGTAGCTAGAATAGTTCCCTTGGAAACAGGGGTTGACACACACAGAAAGCCGAAACCGGCGCAACTTGTATAGGTAGTTGTAAGCATGCAAGTGATGTGTTCCTCGGTCTGTAGCAAGCCAGCTGACTTTTTCTCGACGAGGCCGCAGCTCAATGTTCTTTGGGATGTCCTTGCACTTGACCTCTTCTTTTCTTTTTCATTCTTTTTCTCTTTCTTTTTCGTTTTCTTTTTCTTTTCTTTTTGCCATGGGGTGGAGGGGTGTTCGGGCGTGCATTGACTAAACGAGCCTGGATGCCACCTAACTAGCCTGAAGAAAAGAACAAGACAAGCGAAAAAGCAAGGAAAGAAAGGAAAGGTGCAGGGGGTGCAGGGGGTGGGGCAGGGCGTGCCTTGACTAAACGAGCCTGGATCACACCTAACTAGCCTGAAGGAAGGAACAAGACAAACGAAAAGGCAAGGAAAACAAGAAAAGGTGCAGGGGGTGTGGGGTGGGGTAAATGCTCTTACGAGCGAACGGCACGGGCCCGGAGGCACTGGCCGAGAAGCCGAAATCGGCGCATATAAATCGCTGTGAAAGTTAAAAAGTGGAAAGACTTCTCCGGGGTGAGACTGGATTCAGTTGAACTCTGCAGTATACTTCAGTAAGACTTTCAATGAACTCTGCAGTACAATTCACGTGTACAAGGTGAGACGTTCCAAGCAAGCTGATTTCGAGCAGGAAAATTCAGTCGAGTGAACTTCAGAAAAGCTTCAGGGAAATTACTCCTGCGGTGAGGAGTGAGAAGGTTCTTGCAGTAACGGCGCCCCGTAGGGATCACACAGCTTACCACGTGGGAAGAAGCTGCGGAAACACACTTGAGAAGGTTGCTCCGTGGAGCTTGTCTTCAGGCAGTTCGCGGTGAGCATTAGCACTTTAAGGTTAGGCCCTATGAAGAACGGAAAGGCGAAAGAGTCCGAGAACAATATGGTTTAAATCAATGAGTCAGTTTAAAAAATCGATGCAGGTACAAGATACTGCGTCCAGTATCTCATCCAACCGAACACCATAGCTTTGTTAGCACGGCTAGGTGAACGGTCGCCGTGCCCCCTGCTGAGTTCCTGTACAGCACTTCAGTTCAGCGAGCACGAGTAGCTAGAATAGTTCCCTTGGAAACAGGGGTTGACACACACACACCCCTTCAAATCGCAGGAATGCATTTCCGGTTTCGCCGCGGCGGGGTGAAGACCTCTGCCCGTCAGGCAGAGGTCTTCCAAGAGAGCATCTTGGCGCTGGCAGAAGGTGGGCCTTTTTTCAAGGGAGGTCTCGGCTTTGAAAGGACGTCCATGAGACTCCTTTCAGCCAAGTGCTGAACAAAGCACTCATTTGCAATCGATGTGCTCCCCCAAACCAGGGTCTGGCGATGCGAAGAAAACTGCTTGGGCTCCTGGCCTTTCCTCTTGCAACGTGTTCATAGTCAAGGGTGGGTTCTTTGTCCTTCTCCTGTGCTTGAAGCACCTATGCATGCTGGGGAAACCTTTCCTGGGGATTCTAACAGAAGAGTCGAGCCGAAGAGCTGAGAATACTCCGACACACCACTGCATGTCGGGACCCCTCCGTTGCGACATGAGGACGGGTTACGGTTTCAGAGTAGGTGGCACTGGCACTGGCACGATGACTTAGACAGATGGCGGCCATATAAACCACCTTTTTGGGGGGGATTGTGCCATCTACTCTCGATCCACTATATATATATATATATCTACTGGATGGGTTTCTTGGGCTCGTTCAGCCTCGCATCCATTCAGCCAAGCCTCCCACGGTGTTTGCCGAAAGTCACGACCTGTTAGAGGAGAGATCTATTTTTGTAAGATATGTCGATTTCACCATCTGTGAAGCCTGTTTTGTAGACTCTTGAGGACCATAACCCTGAAGAGGACTTCCAATTCAAACGGGGGAGGTTATTGATCAAGAGACAAACCACGCAAAAATGGTTGTGACTCCCTTTTCCTCCCTGCAGAGACTTCCTCAACCCTGGCTCCGGTCACCAATGGACCCAGTGAGCCATGGCTGACGACCCCCCGATCCCTGTCAGGTGAGGATCCTGATCCTGGCAAGACAGAGACAACTCTGGTGCTGCTCCAGTGGCGTTGGCCGAACCATTTCGTGTCGAGCAGTCAGTGTTTGTTCCAGTAGGACCAAGCAGTCCAGTGTGTGTATATATATATATATATGGTACCCCCCCTCCTATACCCACCTCCTATCATGTTCTACTGGTATTTACAGTGTTTTCTGGCCATTTTGCATTATTATTTTTGGCGGTGTTGCGCGTCATCGACTTCCAGGCGGAAAAGTGCTGAAAGTGAAAGCTGGCACACAACACATTGATAGAGCGTGGAACGTTTTGAAAGAACATCTGCGCCTTAATCAGCATGTCAAAGCCGGTGCACAAGCCATCTGTCGACGAATTCGTGCGGCCCAGTATGAGTACTGGTTTCGGGGCCAAGACATGTGGCATCACACTGCCAACTTGGTTGCAGCCACAATGTCTAATTATGCGCACGCAAAGTGAGTAGCTGCCGCGGGGTCAAACAAATGCATCTGTCATCTGCATTCTCGTGAACTTTTCTGTGCATTTGTCATGCATCTGTCTCACACACACAACCATCTGAAACATGCACAGAATGGTCTGAAACATGCGCAGAAAGGTGGGTATAGGATGGGGGGTAGCATATATATATATATATATTCCATATGTTATAACATATATATATATATACACATATTTGCAAAGAACTAGTCATTCCTCCTGTCTGGAGGGGTGTCGGTGTTTTGCCTACTAGGTGCTTGGAATGGCCCTCCTTTACACACATTGGCTCAGTCTTTGCGGCCAAAGGTCCTTCGGTTTTCTGAGAATCGGGTTCCTGTATGGTGGTGGAAAGTCGTTGGGTCGTTGGATTGGATGGAAAGTGACCCATACAGTCTTGAAACGGTCCCAAGACATTCACTAGACAAATTTATTTTGCCAGGAGCCCCTGGTAGCGTCATTGCTCCTAGTAGCGATGCCACCTTGTGGGTCCAGGCAGATGTGCCACTGAGGCAGATGTGTCGCGCAGGCCATGCGCCGGACTTGGACTGCTGCAAGGCCATCCTGCGGAGCCTAGGCGGACCCGAACGGTCGGCAAGTCCGTTGAGCCTTTAAACGGCGCCGTTGAGCTTTTAGATGCGCTTTTCTTACTTTCTCTGACTCTCTGGCCTGATCTTAAGCCCAAAAGCTTTGACGGATCGCATTCCTATTGTGACTTTCCACCACTTGCTAGACAGGTCAGTTCTGTTCTGTATGCGGAGTCTGCAACGAAAGCAAGACAAACAGAAATCCCGTTGACCCCAACCTCAGCAAAATGCAGTCAAGAGAGGTGGCAAAGAACAACGAATCACCTACCATGCCTGCTATAACTAGGTCCACAGCTCATAGACGGCCGTGAAGTGTTGTAGGGTTTTTGAGACGTCGCAGAGGTCGTAAATCTTTAGCCTGATTTGGTTTCTGACGTTCTTAGGAAATTGTAGCGTTGAGACCGCAACCTGACTGGGGAGAGCTGAACATGGGCTACAACAAGACGCACGTTTTGTTTGTTTTTGCAACTTCCAAACTACTTATTTTCTTCTTTACAGAGCAGACGTGTTCCTATTTATTCATGGACCTTGAACCTGACTGGGGGCAGATGACGGCAGATGTGGAAAGTTTCGAAGCGCGCGTCTCGCCGTAGCAGAATGCACATTTTTTTACTTCAGCGCCGTCAAGTTCTTGTTAAGAACCAGTCGGCAGAGTCTCTGATATGCTTTTGGCGATATGGGTACATGTCGATGTACTCAGAGACCCCACCCCCACCCCCACCCCATACCAGGTTCTCAGAAAGCAAGTCAGTTCCGTAAAAAGCAATTGCGTGGCATGTGCAACGTTTGTCATTAGCCCCACCCCAACCCCCACCCCACCCCATGTTCTCACTTAGCAAGTCTGTTCCGTACCTAGCAAGTGCGACCCCATCCAACCTCCGCACCTCTCCCCAGTGGCCCTCAAAGAAACCTCAAAAGTACTGCAAATAACATTTACAACAAAAACAACACAAAAAAGACACGAAACACCACGGCCGTTTACACACTGTCCAACTACATGCAGAGTCGATGGCAACTTTAGGCCATTCAGATCAGATGCGCGCTTGAGTTCGGTGAACCCGCTGCAGGCCTGCGGAACCAGGATCCTGCAGCGGCCGCCAGGCAGTTCTTGAAATGTGTCCATGCGCACGTGTTTGGGACGTTGTGAGGAATAAAGATCCCGGAAGTTTGCTTGTGATTTTGAACATTTGACATTTTTTTGACATATTTTAGGTGGTGTGAGATCGGTTTCCAGCTTCCTTTTTTTCGGTGTCCTCCTGAACACTGAAAACCATGTCTTCGGTGTCCTCCTGAAAACCATGTCAAGGCCTGAAGAAAGATCCACCTTTGGGCCAGTCTCCCGAAATCCCGGAAGAAAGGGAAGTGTATAGCTGTAAAGTTCACGCTGTGCACTTGTGTTTCGGCAGTTCGAACTGTTTTCGACCTTTACTTACCATCGTTCCCTCTCAAGACTGGGAGGGCAGTTGCCTAGCAAAAGGCGCGGCCGCGGCGCTTCAGTGCGCCCTCTTGTTTTCGTGTTTGCGGACTTCGGGTGCCGCTGCTACCCTTTTTCGCATTGGTAGCGGAGCCTCCTCCGGGGGGGCTCCGAGTCCTTTGCGCGAAGAAGAACGAGGTTCTGCATAAGTCCTTTGTCACGAACCCTTGGCCGAGCTCTTTTGTTTCCTCGTTGAAGAGCCCTTTCGGTCTTGGCTACTTGTTTGAGAATGCCACCAACGACATCGGCTGCAGAAGGTTCCAAGGATGGTGACTACCTCAACCTGCGCGACTCCTTCGTTCCACTGTTCAGTGGACAACCCCAGGACTACAAAGAGTACAGAAAGAGGCTGATGCTCTACCACCACAAGATGAAGATCAGCAAGCGCTCAGCCGAGTCCGTCCTGAACATCCTGGGAAGTTTTCAGGGTGTGACGTGGCGGTTGTTCGAGGACTTCTCAATTGAAGAGGCTGAGAAAGAGGATGGCTTCAGCAAGATCATCACCAAGCTCGACAAGAACTTCGAGTATGACGATCGTGTGCTCCTTCCGAATGACTTTGAGGAGTACTTCAACTTGTTGCAAAGGAAGCCACAGCAAAGCCTCCTGTCCTTCGTCACCGACCATGACACCGCCTATCGTCGTTTGACTGCCCACAATGTGACTCTTCCAGTCCAGGTTCAAGGATGGCATCTACTCCGACGTGCTGCTTTGTCAAAGGAGCAACGCCAAATGGTGACGCTGAAGGCTCCTACGTTGGAAAAGAATCCTGTCATCGAAGCCCTGTACCTGCTGTTCGGTCAGGACTACAAAGCAGGCGGCTGGAATGCTGAACGTGATCGAAAGTTCAACCGCTGGAAGGGCCGCGGCTACGCCGCATTCGATGAAGAAGATGCCTACTGGTCCGAGCAACCCTGGACAGAAGACGCCTACTATGAGGCCGACGACTGGTATGATGACACTGCCCCTGACGATGAGGCTGACTTTGACTATGACGCCATCTACTACGGCGAAGAGGATGAACCTGGAGAACACCATGACCTGTCCGAAGATCCTCAAGAGTTGGCCGAAGAGTATGACCACGTCTATGCCACCTACTTGGATGCCCGGCAAAGATTCCAGCAGCTCAAGTTGGCTCGTGGCTACCTGCCGATCGTCGCCCTCACTGATAGCCAGAACGCTTCGCCCGCCTCTGGATCCTCTTCACCTTCGAAGGGCGCCGGCAAGAACAAAGGAAAGGGTAAGAGCAAAAGCAAAGGAAAAGGAAAGAATGTGGTGCGCTATCCACCCTCCTCAGGTGGAAAGGCTGATCCAAAAGGTCGTGCAAAGGCAACTACATGCCTTCGTTGTGGCCAACCAGGTCATTGGGCAGCGCAATGTCCACAAGGTGCGAAATCACCCTCATCGTCCAACAAGAGACCTGCACCCACTGAGGGTATGGCCTTGCAGAATGAGACCGCCTTGGTCCTGTTCCAGGATGAGATGGGCACCGACCGACCGGATGCCACCATGCTTGACCCAGGTGCATCTGCCTTCCTGTGCGGATATGGTCCATTCGGCCGCTATTTGAGCCACTTGCACTCCATGAACTACCCCATCAACACCATCCGCTTTGCTCGATGTGACCGCCAGTTCCATTTTGGTGGCGATGCATCCTCACGAGCTTCATGGACAGTGGATCTCCCGGTGATGATCGATGGCCAGTTCGGCACGATCCAATGCTACCTGGTTCCTGGCAACACGCCAATGTTGATGGGCCGACCTGTGATTGAGGCTCTGCACATGGGCATCGACTTCAGCCAGAAGCGCATTCGCTTTGGGCAATCGCCTTGGACCTCAGTGCTTGTGGGCCGCCATGGCGAGTACTTGTTGAGCCTCACCACTGGCATGGAGGAAGTACCTGATCCCACGAAAACCCTATTCAGCCTTCGCATTGTTGAGGAAACACCTGGCAGCCATCTCCACTTCGAGGACTTTAACAAGCTCGAACATGTGTTTCAGGCTGAAGATGTGGCTCTAGCAGGTGGCGAATTGCAATCCACTCGCCTTCATCGACATGCCCTTCGAACCATGGAGACTCAGTTGGTCACTACCTCAAACTCCACCGAAGCCTATATCACTCAGGAGCTTCACAATCCTCCCGACCATCGACGAGTTCTCTGGGAAATCTACTGTGGCAAAGCTCGCACTGGCCACATCGCAGAGGAGCTTGGCATGAAGGTGGAAAGATTTTCTTTGGACAATGGCTGGGACTTCAACCTCATCAGCCATCAACAACAGCTACTCCAACGACTTGATGAAGAAGAACCTGATGAAGTGCTGGTGGCACCAGAATGCCGCCTGTGGTCAAGAATGCAAACCTTGGCTTGTCGCACCCCTGCGCAGCAAGAAGCCTTGAAGGCTCGACGTGAGCACCACCATCGTCGCCATCTCTGCTTTGCCAAGCGCATCTACCTACGACAGGTGACCAATGCACGGCGTGCCCACTTGGAGCAGCCCCGACGTGCCTTGAGCTGGAACACGATGGCTCTCCGAGATCTTCCTGGTTACTATGCCGACTTCGACCAATGCCGCTATGGAGCAATGTGCATGGACACCGACGGCATCTGGCGACCTGTCCAAAAGAGCACTCGCCTGTTGACCACAAAGCAGGCTGTTTTAGAGGCCTTCCAGCTGAAGTGTGACCATGACCACTACCACTGCCCCTTGGAAGGCTCTGCTCCTGGCTATGGCCGCCGGACCACCTACTTGGAAGACTACCAACCTGGCTTTGCAGCGACACTGGCTGCTGCCTTGGCTCGTCCTGAGACCGCTCAACTGTGGGACACCGCCTATGTGGTCGATGAAACTGGCAAGAAAGAGACCGGACACCTCCTCAAGCTCAAGTCTGAACACCGACAAGATGCTCTTCGAACGGTGCAACGGCTACACCGAAACCTTGGCCATCCGGCACCTGATGCTCTGGCTGATCTGTTGACCGCCAGAGGAGCTCATCCCACTGTGATCGCCGCTGCCAAGGAGTACAAGTGTGTGGCATGTCTGAAGCACAAGAAGCCCAACCAGGTTGCTCCATCATCCATGCCACAGCCCAAGACCTTCAACGAAGTGATTCAGGCTGACGTTTTCTACCTCAAGCCAGCAGACCGCAAGTTTGCAGTGCTGAGCATAGTTGATGTTGGCACCAAGTTCATGGCAGCCTACCTGCTTCATGAGGAGACCTCCAAGTCTTACATCACCGCTCTGGAAAAGATGTGGGTTCGCCATTTTGGCCCTCCCAAGAAGCTGATCTCCGATGAAGGCCGACCTTGGCTTGGTGCACCGTTTGAATCTTGGACAAGCTCACTTGGCATTGACCATCAAGTAGCACCAGGAGAAGCTCATGAGCGCCTTTCGTTGGTTGAGCGCCGTCATGCAGTGCTGCGCCGTGCCTGTGAGGTCTACATGGATGACCGCAAGCTCAACGACGCTGCTGGCATCAAGGAAGCACTTTGCTATGTGATCCCACAGCAGAACGCCACACCTGCAGTTGCTGGCTTCTCGCCCAGTCAATGGGTTCTTGGCTTCCAACCTGAGCTGTCCCACCTCATGGACTCCAACCTCAATGCAGCTCAACTTGCTGGCAACAACAGCTCATTTGAGGAGAACCTTGAGCGGCGAACTGCTGCAAAGATGGCACTGGCATCTGCTGATGCTGACTCCAAGCTGCGACGAGCTCTCAGTCGCAAGTACCAGGGCCAGAATCGAGTTTTCCAGTTGGGAGAAAGAGTATGGTTTTGGCGTGATGCTCGCCAAGGAGCACTGAACAAGATCAGATGGCTTGGTCCTGCCCACGTGGTTCTTCGTGAAGAAGATGCTGAAGCTGATACTGCAGCTCCAAAGGTCAAGACCTACTGGCTCGCCTACAAAACACAGTTGATTCGTGCTGCGCCTCACCATGTCCGTGCAGACATCCTCGGACCTCAGCACGTGCTCGAAGACCTGCAATCAGCCCTCAACAAAGTGAGACAGCTGAAATCCCGTGGAGTCACTAGATTCTACGACTTGAGACGGGTGAACCGCCAACAGCTGGATGATGTCGAGGAAGATGAACAACACACTGACCCTGATGGTCCTCTGCTGGAAGAAGATGATGATGAGCCTCCCAGGCATCGCTTTCGCCTGGAGCCACCCGTGCCGACTGCAGAAGCACCACCACAGATCATCGTGCCCGATGATGAATATGAGCCTACCTCACCTGCTCATTCCAGCTTTGCACCGACGTCTCCCAGAGCACCACCAACACCAGTGATGGCAGAACCAAACATGTTGCTGCCCATGGCCCCAGCCGAGATCACTGTACCAGGTTCACCAGCCACCACTAGGTCCCGCTCACGGGCTCCTACTGTGGTCGAACCCAGCGAAGAGCCAACCATACCATCTGCAGCACCCACACCACATGCTGCATCACCACAGGCCATTGCAACAGCACCTCAAGCATCAATGTCAGGGCCTTCACTGGACCCTGACACTGCAGCATTGTATGAACCAGTCGATGCTGAAACCTTTCAACAACGACGAGTTCGCTTCAACAGACAGGAGACACTTAGTTTTGGCCCCCTGCGAAGACAGCGCATTGGGTCACCACAGCCATACAACACGACGTCGCAAACAACAACACCAGAAGCAGAACACAACAGTGCAGAGCACAACACACAAGCAACAGCGGCAGCCGCAGAAGCGCCAGCCCAAGTATCGGCAGCTCCAGCTGCTTCGGATGATCCTGCTCTCTATGCAAGTCAGAAGGCACCTGATCACGCCTTGCTGAATCATGCCTTCCAAGTCTCCGGCATTGAAGCCAACTGCCTGCCAAAAGGTTGGACCTATGAGAATGGCTACTTCCAGCTCGACAAGAGAGACCGCGACTTCTGGGAAGTCAAAGCCGGATGTTTGATCAGACACCATGTGATCCCTCGACGATCCAAGATGTGCCTGCACCAATTGCCAAAAGACAGCCCCTTCACCTCAGATCAGATTGATCTGGTTCGGGTGACCATTATGTATGACAACAACGGCAAAAGCATCCAACAGACCGACGATGGCTACACGGCTTCCACTCCCTTGGATCGCTCATGGACTGGAGTCACGATCTTCCAGATCAAAGGCGACCTTCGTCGAGAGATGGCCATGTTCGCTAAGGCCCCACTTCAAGGAGCACGACAGCTTGGCAAGGAGACCAAACTCCGGCACGCCAAAAGCTTCAAGAAAGACAAGAACAAGAACAACCTCTCGGAGCGCCACATGACTCCTGATGAGCGAGCAGCCTTCAAAGCTGCAAAGGTCAAAGAGTTGCAATCCTTCTTTGACAACCACGTCTGGCAGTTCGAGACCACCAGAGAAGCTGAGCCCAGTCGGACGCTGACCAGTCGCATGCTGCTGAAGTGGTCAAAGAATCCTGATGGCAGCCCCCGTGCCAAAGCCAGGCTCATTGTCAGAGGCTTCATGGACCCAGACGCTTGGGAAGGAACTGTTCCAACCTCATCGCCCACAACCACGAGGCTGTCGAGATCCATGTTGTTGAGTTTGGCCTCCACCATGCAGTGGCCAATCTGGACTTCAGACATAGCAACCGCCTTCCTGCAGGGTCGACCTCAGACACGCAAGTTGTGGGTGCAGCTTCCTCAAGAGTGTTTGCAGTTGCTTGGAGCTACAGCTGACACCCGTATGTTGCTTCTCAAGCCCTGCTACGGCCAGATCGATGCCCCGAGATCTTGGTTCATGGCTGCAGTTGATAAGCTGAGCGCTATGGGCCTCCGACAGCATCCTCAAGACCCTTGCTGCTTCTTGATCTATGAAGGTGACCTCAACCCTGAGTATGACACCACAGCTGAGCACTCCAACCTGCTTGGACCTCATGGCCTATGTGGTATGGTCATCATGCACGTCGATGACATGCTTGGTTGCGGTTCGCCATCCTCCCAGTGCTACAACGACACCATCACCAAGCTGAAGAGCACCTTCAACTTCCGTGAATGGAAAACTGGTGATGATGGAAAGCCCTTGACCTATTGTGGTTGTGACATTCAAGTCAAGGATGATGGTCTCCTCCTCAACCAGACCAGCTACATGGGAAAGGTGAAACCGATCACCTACGACAAGAAGCGCAGCCTCACCGATGCGCTCAATCAGCGTGAGTTGACACAGCTGAGAGGACTTCTTGGTTCACTTCAATGGCCCGCAGTTCAAAGCAGTCCTCACTTGCAGAGCAGCACCTCGATCCTGAGCGGTCATGTCACCAAGGCCACGCTTCAGACAGTGGCCGACACAAATCGCCTGCTGCGTTTTGCAAAAGAAAATGCTGATGTTGGCCTACAGTACAGCCACCTGGGCGAAGTTTCAGAACTTTGTTTGGTATGTTTTTTTGATGCTGCCTTTGCCACCCGCAGTGACGGAGCCTCACAAGCTGGCTATGTGATCCTGATGGTCAACAAAGCTTTGCTTCAGGCCAATGGTCCCGAAGGAGCCTACCACGTGTTGGATTGGCGCAGTTTGAAAACGCCAAGAGTTGCACGCTCTTCCTTGGGCGCCGAAGCACAAAGCGGTGGTCAAGCTTGCGATGCCTTGGAGCATGCCAGCATCTACTGGAGCTTGTTGGTTGACCCTCGCCAGCGACTCCAAGAGCTCTTGGACGCTCCATCCTTGTTGTCGCCCACCATGATCACGGACGCCAAAGCCCTTTACGACTCCTATCACCGAGAAGGAGTCGGAAGCTCTGTGGTTGACAAGCGAGTTTCGCTTGAGATCCGTGTGATGAAGGATCGCCTGTCTTCACTGGGCGGTTCTTTGAGGTGGATGTCATCGGAGCGCCAACTGGCTGACGGTTTGACAAAAGAGTCGGCCAGAGCACTTCTTGCACAACGGCTACGTCACGGTCGTTTGAAGCTTGTTTGGGACCCCTCATACAAAGCTGCCAAGAAGAAGACAAAAGCTGAGCTCCAACAGAGTCTTGCTGAAAGCATCCATGTGGTACCACCACATGTGATCAATGAGGAACTTGAAAGCATCCATGTGGTACCACCACATGTGATCAATGAGGAACCCGAAAGCATCCATGTGGTACCACCACATGTGATCAATGAGGAACCCAACCTCCACGAGGAGCACCAGCAGCCCATCGACGAGAATCCTGCGGAGAATGACGTGAATGTCGATGAGCAGGTGTTTTGGAAAGAGATTTTTCGGAATTCCAAGGTTCCTGTGAATGTCATGTTTGCCAGGACCGACCGGAAGCTTGAGTATGTCTCCGACAGTCCGAGCCATGTCGGAAGCCGCCCGCTCGAGTCCTACCGCGGTCGTAAGACGAATTTCATGTTTTGGTTTTTGCTTTTGTTCATGGCCCCGCAGCTGGTCACGGCCGATTCGGCCAATGTGGAACCTGAAGCTGGAATGGATTGGTTTGGAACTGTTTTGTGCACCCTCCTTCTACTTTTTTTGAGCACAGCCTGCATGGTTGGTCGATGGAGCCATGATGCACACCACCGAGTACCACCCCAGGTCACTGAGGCTGCAGTCCAAAAGGATGAAGCGATCATCCCAGCTCGCCTTAGAGAAGAAGTCAAACGCCTGAAGCAGGAAGTCCTGCGCTGGAGTTCCAAAGCCGAGGAGTCCCGCCTTGCTGCTGTCGAAGCCACGACAGCGATGAATCTGGTTCTGAGAAACCAGAATGCTGCTGAGACCCTTGCACAGGAAGCCTCCCAGATCCTGAAGATCGCCCTGAGGCAGATGGATGAGCATGGAAATGAATGCCCCTTCTACAATGGCATGATCATCAGCCGGCATGGCGCCAGATGGCACACGACCTTGAACTGTTCAAGCCTGGCCGGAAGAGATGAAAGCCTGCAGCGGCGAGTAGATTTCTGCCGCCTTTGTAGTTTGAGGGTGATTCCACCTGACCTTGTCGATGATCGGTCAGGCTCATCTGTGCGGACCTTGGTCTACCAATGGCTGGACCGGTTCGAACAGCGGAACTGGGGTGATGACGAAGGACTCTCCCCCATGTAAAGTTCACGCTGTGCACTTGTGTTTCGGCAGTTCGAACTGTTTTCGACCTTTACTTACCATCGTTCCCTCTCAAGACTGGGAGGGCAGTTGCCTAGCAAAAGGCGCGGCCGCGGCGCTTCAGTGCGCCCTCTTGTTTTCGTGTTTGCGGACTTCGGGTGCCGCTGCTACCCTTTTTCGCATTCCCGGAAGAAAGGGAAGTGTATAGCTGTTTTGGGACAACGCAAGGAAGACCCCCCAAGAATCACTCCATGATCTTCAGGGGATTTATATAACAAAAAACGGCTCCACCTTGCCTTGCCTGGAGTAGAAGCCAACTGCAAGCAGCCCGATGAGATAGCCGGTGGATCGCACCCATGGCCTTTTACTATCGGCCGGTTGATTAGTAGAGGAACCCCCCCAATATGCATATATATATATATATTTATATACACACAGTATATATATGTATATGCTGTATATGCATCGACCCCCTCCATTTTTTCCAAAAAGGACATCATCGAGGAGTCCCACCGAGGGTGATGTGGGAGGGTCTCTTTCCACCGTGATGTGGGAGCCACGCATGACCTGTAGGGTTTGGTCCACCAGCGGGGACGGACTGCCGTTGGGTCAAGCAGTGGAGAGGAGCCTTGACCAGCGGATGTGGGCCAGCATGAAGAAAGCAAGTGCGATAAAGAATTCCACCTAGACTGTTTTGATGTATTTTTTTCTTCTGGGACTGCCCCCCCCCAAAAAAGCATCCTCGATGAGTTCAGTGATGGAAGGATGGACCCAGCATTGTCATGCTTCTCTCCAGGTGGATGGAGAACGAGATGCCGAAACTGGGCGCCCCTCGGTGCGCGCTGAAGCGACTCCGCAACTGGACGGACCGAAGGTATGGTCACTGGACGGACCGGGGCTGCGTGTGTGGCTGAAACCGGGTCGCCGAGGTGGAGCCAGATGACGAGGCTCGAGAAATCCTGGTGGAGGCCTTTTTCCTGCAAGGCCAGACAGAGATCCACAGACTGAGGTTGATTTGTAGGTGGACACACTCGCGTGAAGGCTTCGAAGAAATGGAGATAAATACAGGATCAGATATGGAATAAGGGAGGAGTTCTTGGAAGATGGATCATTTGGGATGCGTCAAAAGTTGCTGTTTGGCTTTGCTTCAAGGTATGGGTTTTGCTTTGTAGCGAGAATGACTGAAAACTGCTCGTAAACTTGAGAGCCTCAAAGTACTTGTACGTGATTCCTGGCAGAAGACCCAAGCAAATTGGAGCAGGCGGACTAGTGACTAGTGACTAGTGGGATCTTACCAAAGGGCCCACAGGCCCACACACTTGAATATTCCACAGGTCCATAGACTGAATCTATCTAAGGTGAGAGAAAGGGCATACCTTTAAAAAAGTAAATCTCTCTCTCTATACACCTAGCTAGCTAGTGTTACTTGGTATATAACGAGTAAGAAGCATGGACTATGACCGACATCACAACCGATGGATTCGCATGTGGTTTTAATGCTGCGAGGCCTTCGGAGAGGTGCGGCCAGCTGGCTCAGCTCCTTGAGGAGGGGATGTGCTTGGTGCGGATCGGGAAGGCAGAGAGGCTGAGATTCGGTGTTTTTGGTGGCAGATTTGACTGCTTCAGTACGGCAATCACATCAGCCTCAAAGCCGAAGGTCAACAGCTGGGCCCAGTTCGAATTTTCTGATCCTCGGGCTGGGTGGGGTCTTTCCAGAGCTATTCCAGAGCCATTGATGCCAAAAAGTAACTCACAGTGCTCTGCAAGTGGTCAAGGTCATTCTCTTTTGGGGGTCCCGGTACGTGATCTTTTCTTTGTCCAGCACGCATCCGCACGCCAAGCACTCTCCGGCCCAAGAGGGTGTTGTGATGGAAACACGTTGAATTCGTGTTGAGTGACTGAGAAAAGCCAGCAATTCTTGAGTTTGGTGGGCAAGATCTGTCTGAAGTGCAAGTTTCATCTCTAGTGTATGTTGAAGAACTTTCTTGAAAGCACGTGCAGAATCCTGGGAGCTTTCAGGGTCAGCGTCTGCTTTCAGCTTCCTGTGTAGACGCACTTCCACAAGTCTTGCGCTCCAATGAACGCCTAAGCTCACGACTTGTGGCTTAATGGTCAGGCTTCCTCTCTTGAATGGGTAGGACGTCCACAGGCCGGACGTATCGAGCTCCGACGTGCCGGTTTGTCCAGGAACGGCCCTTCCATGCGATTGCTGGCACTGCTTCTTGGACAGGGTGGAGATCCGATCCGAGTTCCAGTACCTCCGGTTCTCTGCTTCGTAGAAGATTCTGCGAGTTCAGGCTCGTTGCCTTTTTGGACCCTTGTATTTTGGACCAATCCTCCGCGCAAGGCACGCACAGCAGGTTTTTCTGCGCACACACACACGTCCCTCACACGCGTTTCTTCAGGGCGAAGATCGTGGGGACACCGGTGGCGCCACCAAGGTTGCGCGACCGCCTCCTACAAAGCGATGAGGTGGGACACCTAGGAGGGTGCGGTGGGTGCCCCTCTTTGCCAATCAAGGTGTTTTTTTGCAGACGCAGATGTTGTGGAACTTCAATTTTGCAGTTCGTTGGGACTTCAAGTCTTGTGTCTGCAACGTAGAAATTGAAGTTTCCAAGTTTCCAAGAATCGTCAGTGTGTTGCCAACAGACACTGTCTCACATATCTTCTGCCGCAAAGCGTTGCTAGCTGGCCTCAAAATTCCCTGCCGTTAGGCATACAGTTTCGTTCTTTGAGGCAAGCGACATGTCCACCGGGCTTCCGATCAAGATGTCATAAGCAGAGCTGGACAAGTTGTTGCAGAATCTTCAAGACTTGACTCTGAACTGTGGGTATGTGACATCTTCATTTCAACCACAGCTATACTTGGAAAGCTGTAAAAAATTGACCAGTTGCAGTCAGCTGACGGCTAAGTCACGCTAGGTGGACGATCTGAAGTATTGGTTGGGCCGGCCTCAGCTGGGACATCTTCGAAGGACGGACGGCTTTGCGATTCGCTTCGCGCTCAGATGAAACAGGTCTGGACCATCGGGACGAGGTCACCGTGGTCGAACGCAGATTCTCGAGTGGATTTGGAGCTCCCGGAAGCCACTCCACCCTCAGGAGCCAGCGCTTGGTGAAGAAGCTCCTGAAGCTGTCGACTTCGCCTCAAGAGGCGGAGGTCGGACCGACCGCAGCTCGAACGGATTCGGATGGTTAAGGCTAATTGGGCCAAAGAAGCGAGAAAGCGTGAGGCCAAGCGTTCGGGGGCGGGTGGCGAAACACCGCCAGTTGAGGCAGGATTTGGTGATACAATACTGCGGATTGGGTGCAGAGTCCTCCAGAGGAGCCGAAGTAGATGATTTGATGATGATCAAGACATGATATTAAAAACAGATTTAAAAAAACACTGTCAAAGAACTGAACGATCCTCCATCTTTGGGTTTTGCCTGAGAAATTCACATCCTGATCCCTTCCCACACAGACTCATTAGAGAGAGAGAGAGAGAGAGACAGAGAGAGACACAAACTCACTTCTGCACACGGGTGAAGCGTCGCTCCTTTAAAAGAATAAACGTGGGCTACGTGGAATTGGCTGGTGGAAGGGAGCGATTGGAGCCAGACACGTGGAATTGGCCATGAATCCATATGAATCCATCATGGCCATGTGTTGGCCATGAACATGACCCCTCCTGATGCACTGAAGCGATGCCATGAACAGTGATGCGAGCGAACAGCAGGACTGCTTGGAACGTTGCCTTGCAGAGGGCCTGGCAGCGGACAGGAGACGACGGACGTAACGTGGTGAGCCGCGGCGGGGAAGATGTCGCTCGACCTCGTTGTTCTCTCCGCCTGATTGGGAGGTTGCCATGTGCCCCATGTGCTCTTGTTAAATGCAGGGTGATGCCAGTAATTGCAGAAAAATGACCAAAACATTAAACATACCAAAACAATGCTTTAGGTATGCATACCGTATGCAGGATCTTTGTGGGAGTCTGGTGCTGGTTATGAAGAGTGCCCCCCCCCACTGATTTAAGAATAGGTCCATGTAACCCCTCTGTTTGATGCGCTTGCTCGATCCGCTGTTGGTGAAAGCGCCAATCAGATCTGATTTTTTGGGGTCGATGTGCCATCTATCAACCCATCGTGAAATCGACAGCAAGTGCCGAACTCCACTGACTCAAGCCCCTTTGGTGAAGAAATGGACTTGGACAGTTGTGCGAAACTCTGTTTGAGGACAACTTCCACCTTTCCGTTATCCTTTTCTGCTTCCTTTTCCACTTCCGGTCGTGCCACCCGGCCACCGTGGTCCATTTTTTCCTGCCTTTCACGGTGCCTGGCCGTGCTGTGGGCGCCAGGAGTTGCTTCTCGCAGCTGGCCGCGGCCTGGCTGTCGAACGGTGAACCATCCAAGGCAGCTCATTGGCTCGACCGTGTGGCCACCATAGGCGGAGGTGGAGGACGGGCCGGGAGAAGAGAGGTTTGTGTGCTCGGCAAAAACGCCCGCGGAAAAGGAGGAAGAGATTGCAGTCATGGATGAGCAGATTTGAAGCTTACTTGAACCTCATTTCACTTGAGCGACCAGTCGTTCTTCCAGCCCTCTTTAGGCAGAGAAAGCACTACACTGGCCATCAGCGACTGAGAAATCCAGACATCCATGTCCCAATGTCCGAAGGTAAGATCTTTGAGGATCTTTGATGTATAGAATGCAGAACACCGGAAGACATCTGACTAAATGAGCGAGCTCCGTTTTTTGGGGCTTTGCAAAGAGATCCAACCCCGCTATCCGAGCATTGATTGATCCATGCAGATTGTTGTCTACTCAGAGTGGGCGATTCCACTCGGGCCCCGCAGACACGGATGATGCAGACTCAGCAGCAGTCTTGGCCGAGGGCCTGAAGGCTGTCTTTTCGTGGGGCGAGCAGCAAGATTGCAATCTGGAGACCCATGGATAATTACCCAAAATTTCTGGGACAGGGAGGGGCGAGCACCTGAGACAGATTTGCTGTGTTCAGGGGGTAAGCTGCAGCGCAGCGTTGCACCAGTTTTGGACCTTTTTCACTCTCTTCAGATTGAGATTTGTATTGAGAAAATCCTGGATCTCTACCAGCTAGTAGGTTGGCCATTGCTACTAGGTTGGAGGCCAGTACTACTAGTAGCAAGGACGCTACTAGTAACAAGGGCATTACTACTAGTAACAAGTAGCAGCTAAATGCAGATTCAACTGGATATAAACAGCATCGGCTCTGGAGGCTGGTGCCGCGGAGGCGTCCTCGCAGGCCGGGAAAGCGCCAGGCGTGCGAGAAAGACAGGAAAATAACAGCAAAATCTCCTAAGTAGGGACACTTGCCTCCATGTGGGTTTCAAGGAGGCTGAACACCTAGGCTTCACTGACCTTGGCACTAATTAGGTGTTTCTTGATACCAAACACCCCCTCAACCGTTTGTCAATGTTCCTTCTTCCAAGATGTCTTCGTGGGTCTCCCTAATCCACATCCGCATATTGTCTCTGTGTGCAGGTCGACCACCTCCCTTCCTCAAGACACGCTGCCAACAACCCGGTTTGCTGTCCCCAACACTGGGCACTGGCAAGCCTCCTTCTTTGCGATGAGTTCTTGTTCGAGCAGTGTGGTCTCCAGGGTGTTTCATCTCCAAGAATCGACTCAGTACTGGAATCGATGCCTAAGGCACCAAACCCTTGAGATGTGGGCTCTGGCCTCTTTTTCTGCCAGCTTGGTATGCTTAGTGAACATCACTTTTCCGAGGCCTCTCAGACGGTGGTGCGCCTGGCACAAAGTGGTGCAGCCACAGAGGAGGGGGGTGGTCGACACAGCCGATCAATGCCGATCACTTTTTAGTGTATGGTGATTTCCAAATGATAGAAACGTTATCCAATACCTATTTAGTCGGGATCTACTTTTCTATCTATATATTTGGGGTTCTAAAAGAAGGTGATGTGACGGCCGAGAAAAATAAAACAAAGAAAGACAGACCCAAGCACACCAGCACCAAGGGAGGCAACCAGAAAACAACCTTCGGACGACTTTTTGGGGAACAAATCTGTCACAAAAAGCGTCACACAGCTGCTTTGCAATTAAATCAAGCATTTCCTTGGCATTCAGGAGCAGAGAGAGGGCCGCAGAGAGCATGTCCAGGCTTTGTTTCTTTCAGCGTGCCCACCCCTATCGTGTCTAAATTGGTTCCCTTAGCCTCATAGTTTTCAGATGCCCGCAAACGACATGGCTATCCCAAAACGATCAAGACCCTTTCACGAGCGACGGTGCTCTATCTACACCTCGGTTGAGGATCTTTGGAACGATCACTCACAAGATACCTCTGACATAAGTGCCAGAACAAATGGCAACCAAGAAGACTCAGGTATAGTATAGACCACAATGTATAACTTTCCATACGACCCAAGCAACCAGCAACATGAATTAGATAATCTACACCTTGGATGGTTGATGGAGAAACAAAAGGGGCTGCATGCCTGCTCCAACGTCCAATAAATCTGATCGTTCTTCAGACAAACAAAGCATGAGATGTTTGACAGGGTCCGGGTGACAGCAAGATCAAACATATGGGGAGCTAACAAACGGACCCTACAGTTTTGCTTACCAGGCTTAGCAAGCTTCAGAGATCGAATGAAAACAGCATCACTTGTGTTTCGCTGCGCCACACAACTTGGGCCCGACTGTCAGCATATGCTGCTGTTCTTGCGTTTGTTTGCTGATGTTTGGTGTGTTGTCTGTGTTCTGACCAAACAAAAAAATAGAAGCTTTGGGCCTCTCCTCCTTTCTCAGGAACACCTATGAACACCCACAGAAGTTTTGATTCTTGAAGCATTCTCTAAGTGGGTCATAGCCGTCATCAACCAATATGTTTTTCCCAATTTGTCCCAGCTGTTTTCGTCTCGTTGTCCAGGAAAAGACACCTCCCCCGACCCTTCCCAGATGAACACTTCGAACCTCCAAGTCGAATCTCTCCAAAGCAACGCGTGATTCCACTTCTCACGTTCGCCCTGGATCGTACGTGGCGAACCCAACACCGATCCAGGATCCACCAATTCTGCCCTCGCCGTGCCTCTTGAGGCCTCTCAGGAGCTAATGGAGGCCTTGGCATCGCGGAAGGCTGTCACCCGCGAGGCCTTCGAAGCGCTGATGGCGCAGCTGGCCACCGCCGGACAGGCGGAGGCGGGGGGGCCAAGTGGCGAGGGAGGTGAGAGAAAAGATTCAGAAGACATGCGAGGGAGGGGTGGGTGGGGGTCGAGCGAGTGGCGGTGAGGGAGGGGGAGGTGGGAAGCCAGCCTTTCTGGGCAGGAAGCCAGCAGTTGGTTCCAGCGGATGATTGCCAACGGCTTCGAGCCAGGCGGGTGGGAGGCTGGGGTGAAGGATGTCAGACCTCGTGTCTTCCACATGGTCTTCCATGTGCTTTTCCAAAGCAGACAGTCTTGACTTCTTCATGTCTTTCTCATGTGTTTTGACTTTTCAATCCACCACACCATGGTAGGTGGCCCGGCAGTGCAAGCAGTCGAGGTGTGAAGTCCTGTTGCGCTGTGGTGGATGCCTGGGCTCAACGAGACCCTGAGAAGGCACAAGAGATCTTGGAACAATTCGAGGCGTGGAGGTTCCAAAAAGATCGACATCAAACATGGTTTCTTCCACCTTCCAAGTCCGGTGGTTTTTGGACACTCCGAATAAGCTCTTTACAAGGCTATTTATAGACACCTCTTGGTGTCGGTCCTGGTTATTTATGTTTGTCTTTGAAAGCCAGCAGGTCTGCTGAACATCGGCCACCAGACTGGAGATCTTTGGTCTATGTTGGCCTTCCGAATCTGCACTTCCCCACTCTTCACAGGCATTACGACTAGTAACAAGAAGCTACTAGGGGCTCCTGGCATCGCTACTAGGAG